GGTTAGGAATTAACTTTTTTTTTAAATTTTACTGATTTTTGTTGAGCTCTATATTTTTCTCTGCTCTCCTCCCTTCCTCTCCCCTCCCCTTCAATCTTCTCCCAAGGTCTCCATGCTCCCAATTTACTCAGGAGATCTTGTCTTTTTCTACTTCCCATGTAGATTAGATCCACGTATGTCTCTCTTAGAGTCTTATTGTTGTCTAGGTTCTCTGGGATTGTGATTTGTGGGCTGGTTTTCTTTGCTTTATTTTTGAAAACCACTTATGAGTGAGTACATGTGATAATTGTCTCTCTGGGTCTGGGTTACCTCACTCAAAATGATGTTTTCTAGCTCCATCCATTGCCTGCAAAATTCAAGATGTCGTTATTTTTTTCTGCTGTGTAATACTCTGTTGTGTAAATGCACCACATTTTCCTTATAGAAATGAACTCTTAAGAGTCAGAGGTTTCTCTGCAGGCAGTGGGGTGGGTGTGGGTTTAAAACTGGGATCTTCTGGATCTTTGAAGTCATTCTATGACCCAGGTAAATGTCACTTACTGAGGCCAACCTTTCCCTCGTGGCCTAAGTCCCTCAGTTGGTGTCAGCCTTCCTGTCTAGTTCCTACAAATCCCATTCCCTGGTTACTGGCCCTCTCCCTCCAGGGTTCTCTCCATCCCACATCAAAGCCTGGTCCAGAATGAAGGAGCCTCCTCTGCCCTGTGTGAGCTGTGTCGGCATCTTCCAGCCAGAGACCCTGGTCCTGTTGCCATCTCTCTCATCTCCCATGATGCACTTCTGTGCTGAGAAAGGAGCTGGAGCAGCTGTCCCCGACTTGGGGAGCAAAGGGGACTCCTGCCTCCTCCACCTCACACCTGGCTGCCTGAATTCCTATCCTTCTGGTGTGGGCACACAACAGGGATTTGACAGTGACTTCCTGTGTGAGATTCAGCATCACTGTCGTCACTGCCCAGGACCACATAGGTCCTTGGATGCAGATATCTACTTTATCTGACTCTTTCCATAGGGCCCATGTCTGTGGACTTCTGGCAGCTGGGCCCTGGCTGGAACTTTTCAGTCTAGGTGTTTAGATTGGTGCTGGTCACAGGCCTCAGCTGCTCACCAGAGTGTAATCTAGTTGCTGGAATACTTAACTCTCTGAGTGCTGCCCTCTCCTCTCCTCCCTGGGCTTCCAGCCCCACCTAAGGACATGCCTCAGGTCCTTGCAGGTTCTTGCCTGCTCATCTACGGGGGCTCTAGGCTTCCCTCTCCTGGGTGCTCCCATCAATATCCTGACTTGCTAGGCAGGCCACATCCTTGGCTTCCTTTGTGGTCTAAAGCAGGTGAGGAATATCATCAGCTTGTGTTCTCAGTTTCTGGACGGCTGTGACCTTGAGCAAACCTCCCAGCCTCAGTTTCCCCATCTGGAGTGATAGGTAGACTAGATGAGTATCTTGTTTCTGGGACTGTTTCCAGGAACCCCCTTAGGGGTTCGGAGCTCTGCTCACTCTTTCGCCCCATTGCCATTTATGATTAACTTAACTTGTGATTCAGTGTCGGGGCTCGATTCATCACAGCGATGATCGGAGACTTCTTGGACTACCCTGGGCTCCTCATCCAGGCCTCAGAGCCCTGAAATCTTCAGCTTGATCTGGCTCATTCAGCTAAAATAATCCAGTGGCTTACCTCTGCAGAACAGCAGCTCATGACAGCCTCGCAGGTCCCATGCCCCTTGCCCCTGAGACCACTTGGCCTCCCCACCTCTGCACCCTGTAGAAGGTCTCCCTCCCTTCCCAGTAGGACTCAATGTCACCCCTTCTAAGATCAGTTGAGCCCTTTAAAGCAAGAACCAGCCTGAAACTGTTAGGCCAGTATTTTAGTTTGCCAATTGTGTGTCTTGTCCCTGCCCAGGGAGCCACAAGGCTCCCCTGCCCTTGCATCCCATAGGATTCCCTACTCATCCTGTTAGGGCCCTACCCTGTCCTTCTTGACGCTAAGCGCTTGTCATCTGTTGACTCAAAGCCCTCTGTTGGGCTCCTTCTACCTTTCCCCTACACTGAGAGTAGGGCCCTGGTTGTTTCTAGTAGATTGACCTATGGGCCTCAAGGCTGCTTCTCCTCCTGTGGGAACACTAAGGCTCAGGGACAAAGGTCTTGCTCAAGGTCACATTATGAAGTCTTGTTGCCCCCTTTCTCCTTCCTATCTTATTTATCTCCCCTCAGCCTTCTCTCCTTTCTCTGCCCTTCCCTTTTTCCTTCCCATCCTTCCAGCCCCCACCATACTTCTTACTCCTCTCCCACAGTTCTCTGTGGGATGCTCTGAATTTCAAGGTGTTGGGTTGGGATGGGGGGATGGACTGCTTTGCCAGTTCTCAGCCTTTCCTCAGTGCACATCTGTATTCCAGAGGCAGGAAGCTATGGTTTGGAGTAGCAGCAGTGGGTACTGGGGTTGAATGACTTCAGGGCTGTATCAGGCCAAGCTGCACCTTGAGCCTGGGGCAGTTAGAAAACACCTGTTTGGAAGCCTTGTACCTATTTCCAGAGGAGAGGCTCCCATCCTGAGTCATTCCCTGTGAACTCTGGCTCTGCCCCTGCTAGCATCTCTTCTCAATCAGGTCCTCACCACTCTGACTTACACTGTTGTTGCTGATCGTGGCCGTGGGGCAAAGCGGTGGGCTTGGGACCTTTCTTTCTATGCTTGCTCCCTCTGAGTCCTGCCTGGTGGCAGTAGAGACTGGGAAGAGGGCATATCCAGGAGGGCATTCTGTGGGATACAGACCCCTGCTGTTCGGGCATCCACCCTGACATCCACCCTGGCATCCACCCTGGCATTCAGGTCTCTATTCCTGAAACTCTGAGTGCTTGCCTCCCCTGTGTCCTTTGTGGAGGAAACCCTGACCCAGTAACTCTTGCCTCGCCTAACTACTCCACATCAGTTCTTTTCTTGGGAGGCCCAGACTGATCCGCTTGGAGGAGAGAAGGCACTGGTGCCCAGAGTAAGTCTATGACATCATGTATTTCCTATCCAGCCATCTGTGGTCTCGTAGCACTGCCAGGTGATGGCCCTTTCTGAGGACTCCACGGAGCAGTCCTACCCCTGGGTTCCATCCCAAGAGGCCTCCAGGTCCACAGAGCTGTACCACTTGTGTATCTACTAAGCCTACCCCTCCCCAGAGGGCCATGGAGTACCTAGAGGGGCCCAGGACTGCAGTTGGGAATCTCCGGGTGGGGGTGGGGGTAAGAAGGAGGGAAGGGCTCTCCCTTTCAGAATGCATAGAGTTCTAGCTGTGCCAGATCTGGTCTTGAAGGACGCTGGCTGCTCTTGAGTCTTCTTTCGGGTAAGAGGAGGAAGTACTTATTTCACCTGGTGTGTGAGAGACCACCCCAAAGCCTAGGTAAGCCTGTTCCTTTAATCACCTCCAGAAGACCCTGAAATGAAACCAAGAATCTGCAGTGGTACTAGGCCTGCTGGGTAATATGAGGTCCAAGGGCAGTGTCTGATGCTCCCGGGTAGGCCAGCTTTTCCCAAGTGACAGAACTAGGGCTGGGAAGAGGAGGGGGTCAGGGCAGCCTCAGGCCTGAGCAACTTCTAAATCCCCATTGCCCAGAAGGTCTGGGCTAGTCCTTAACCAGTTTAAAGGACAATCATTAGGTACCTTGGAATACGTACTTGGCAAAAGTCTGACTTACCAACACATAGATTGCTGCTGCCTGTCCCTGTTTGAACTTCGGCACAGAGGCTGTGCCTTAATCTAGTTCACCCAGCAATTGCAATTCCGTGGGTTCGGGCCCACTTCTCGTAGCGGCCTGACCACTCAGGCCACAGTCTGGCAGGAATTGCTCCTGCAGGCACTGGCCCTGTCGCTGCCTCTAAATGTAGCTTTAACTAGATCTCTACTCTATTTATGAATAAGACTTGAGAGTCAAAGGCTGGGGAGGAAATCTGTGAGCTCAGAGACTGAGTAGCAGCTAGCTAACCTCTCTCCTTGTGGGTGTCCATGGAGGAGGACCTGTGCTTCCGCTTGGCCAAATCAGAGAATGCTGTGCCACTCCAAACCCCACCCGATACTTCCTCTGTCTCTATATCTCTCCCATGCACTCTGATTACTTTCTGTTGTCTAGTTGCTGACACAGCCTCCTGACCCAAGGTTAATTTTATCTAATTAACACAAATGCAAACTCGGGGTTCACAGTGTGATCAAATATCCCCCAATATGCCTCCTCCATAGCGGCCAGGATGCTAAAGGATGTGCCATGTATTTTATCAACAGCGTATTAGTGCTTACCAAGTGAGAGAGCTTATAAATGGCTTATATAAATGCTCAATAAAGGCACTTTGGTTATTGCCTTCCTCAAGTTTATCTTTCAGGCTTGGCCTTCATGGAAAAGTGGAAGCAGGCAGGACAGGGTGGAGGGAACTTCCGTGGGAAAGGATGGAGGGAGCTGGCTCACTGCTCGGACCACCTCCTGGAGGAAGTCTTGATAGGACCAGATGGAGTGACTTGAACCCATTGGTTCAAAAGGTGATGATTGGAAGCTTAAATGGGACGAACTTCAGAGTGCCGTATAGCAAGATGTTACTAGGTTATGGACTAGAAAAACAGTTTCATAAATTTTTTAAGATCTATTATAATAAAACCAAATACTGATTTTTGAGAGGAGGAAGTTATTTTTCTTGTCTAGGGATAAATAAAATTTCTCAGATTCACAAGATTTGGGCTCCAACTCCTTCTCATCGCTGCCCTGAGTTTATTTTGTGTGGTCAAAATCCCAGTGATGACTCTCGTGTATCAACTTTCTGAGCTGTCCCACTCAGCAGGCAGTTACCTGGTCTCATTTGACTAGCAGGCTGGCTTCAGTTATGTGAGCCAGGGTCACCTGGGAACTTCCTACTTACTGTAATTTTGTGTGGGGGAGGGGGCGGGAGCACTCAGATTTGAGTAATCAAGTGTTCCGCGCAATGACTTTGGGGTCCTCTTCAGTAGAGCCCACATTCTGATGGAAGTATGCGGGAAAAGCTATATTCCCCAATTTTAGATCAAAGAACTCTTAGAGGGAAACCTTTTGCAAACTACAAAACCTTTATCATAACGCCAGAACCTGCTCACTCCCCACGGAAAGAGAAGAGCAGCAGGAATGTTGGAATACAGACAGTTTATAGAAAATACAGAAAATGTTAGATGCAACCATAGGTCGACCAATTAGAACAGACAAAATGTCCACAGACTGCAAGAGCAGAATGGCATGTTTACAGAAGAGGTTAAGGGTTGGCCAGTCTCTTGAGATCACAGCACTTTTGGTGTCATGTGTTCAACACCAGTGTGACGGGTTTTACATACCTCATGCTTTGTCATCTCCAAGGTTGGAACCCCACTGTGGCAGACTTTCCACGTCCCTGCTCTACAGTTCCTAAGGCAACCGGGAGATCAGTTAATCCCTTAGCAAGCATTGGGTGTTAACCCAGATCCAGGTGAGGAGTTTTAATTTTCATGGCCACTCCAGTGGCTGTTTTCTTTTATGGTTTGTTCATTTTTTTTTTTTTTGACAGGATCTCTCATATGGTAGCCCAAGTTGTTGAGCTTCCGTACAGTCTTCGTGCCCGAGCCTCCCAAATGTGGGATCACAAGGGTGAGCCCCAGGCTAGTGCCAAATTGCTGTCAACAAACTTCCAAAGCCATTTCTGCCTTTAACATGCCCATCAGCTGGAGAGATGGCTCGGAAGCTAAGAGCGTGGTTTTGCTTCTGCATAGGACCCAGGCTCTGTTCCAGCACCTGTATCGTGGCTCACAATCATCTGGAACTCCAGTTTCCAGGAGATCTGATGGTAATATTACCCTCCCGACTTTGCCGTAGATGCCACCTATGAAGGTGGATTATTAATAGTTGCCTAGGTTATTTGAACATTTATTTTTTTTCCTGCCTTATTTTTCTATACATATCAGGTAGAGGTTTCAGCCAGGGTGGAAAATTCGACCTCTGCCTTCACTCTGTGTGTGTGTTCTGTCCTCTTTTTTTGTGCTACCACCCCCACCCCCCTTCACTTGGTACACATTAACCATGTAAGGAATGTTTGCTCAGAATTGGCAATGTCAACTGATACCCAAACCTCCCTATTCTCCTTTCTCTTCAGGCTGGTGGGATGACAAAATAGAGCCAAAGGTTACAAGGCACCCAGGAGCCCAATGTTGCAGTATTATGTGTGAGCCAACTGTCAGCTTTCACGGTGCCCTGTTCCAGATCCTGGAAGCAATACCTCACATCAGCCACCCCTGGAGCTTCTTTTCCGCATACTGAGGGGAGTTGGGAGTTCCCTGGTTAAATGGTCTTTCCTGGTGTCATCTTGGTTTGCCTGTCATCTTGGTTTGCTGGCTTCCGAATCTTTAGCGTCACCCCAACAACTGTTCTTGGGTTTTGTTTGTTTGAGGAGGATTTTTTTGGACCTGAAAAGACTTGAACTTGTCTTTGTCAACAGGGACAGTGTGTCTAGTCTGGTGGCTCTGAGGGCTTTGCCTGGCAACTAACCAAACCCCGCCTCCTCTCATGAGGTCTTGTCAGAGAGTCTTTTCTCAGCAGGGAGTCTCACACACCCCCTCCTCAACGGTCAGGAAAAGGGTCCCAATGAAGCCTGCTGCAGACATTCATCTGGAAAGATGTCTTGTTTCTGTGTATGGGGAGAAGGGCCACCGGGAGCCCAGCAGCCAGTGAACAAAGGCCGCAGAAGAGAACAGCTTCATCAAGACTTCCCTGCTGACTGTTTTATTATGTCCATATGATTATCTTTCGGAGTAAGGAAAAGCAACAGGCTATCTCCTTTCAGTCATTACACTGTTTCTTAGCAAGGAGTGCCAAGTCCAGGTGAAAACATGGTTCCCCGTGGACTGTGGTTCCCTTTACCTGTAAGTAACACGTTTATTGTGGTTCTTACATCTCTGGGTGTGTTCCTACGGTGTTAGGTGGCAAAGCAGGCCCTTAAGATGGCGAAACAGCCACGAGTACCTTGAGCATAAGCTATCACAGCCAGCCCTGGGGAAACAGAAAAACTAGAGCAGGTTTCAGAAACCACATGACTGGGAGGGGTGGGCGGAGCTTATTTATCAGGTGACTGCAGCCTTACTCAGCCCTTACTCAGTCCTCCCTAAAAGGTCATCCACCACCTACCAAAGGACATCTGCTACCCATAAACTGGCCTGATTGTGACTGGCACATCCCCCTCAAGTCAGGCACGGCCTGGCACCCTTTCTGCTATCCGAGACGGGGGAAAAACCTCCCTGAGAGGACGGGATCTGCCCTTTAAGCCTTTAGGATCGCTGTTAACGCTTACAGCAATCTTATTGTTTGTCTCCCTGGCTGAACTGTACCTCTGTACTCTGGTGAGACAGCCTGGAAACTTATCCCTCAGTAAACTTTATTTTCTACCCCCTACCCTCAGTGGTCTGTTTGACTTTGATGAGTTTTCTTAAGACAAAGGAAGGATAAAAAGGTCTTTGAAGCTGGGTGGTAATGGTGCACACCTTTTAATCCCAACACTCATGAGGCAGAGGCAGGCAATCTGAGTGCCAAGCTAGCCTGGTCTACTAAGTGAGTTCCCGGGCAGCCAGTTGCAGAGTTAAAAAAGAAACCCTGTGTCAAAAAAAAAAAAAAATGAGTTCTTACTAGCAACACAATTTTCAACTTCATGGATAATACAAAATATTGGGAACTGAGAGTATCCACATATAAAATTCAGTTACATGAGCTTTAATGTAGCTTTGGGGTTAATAGCATTGTAAACTAATTCTCTACACTCACCAACACAAGGCGGACTGCTTCCCAGCTGTCCACTGGGCTGGGGACAGGGCCTCCTGTGCCTGTTCCTGATATCTTTCAAATTGTCTCCCACAACAAGGATGTCCAGAGAAGCAAGAAAAGTAACTTCTCCCCCCTCTCAAAATTTGGTTTTATTATAATGGACAATTCATGAAACTGTTTTCCTAGTCCCTACCCTAATAACATCTTGCTATATGGCACGCTGAAGTTCGTCACATTTAAGCATCCAATCATCAGTTTTTGGCCAATGGGTCCATTTGATCCTGTGAAGACCAAGCATGTGAGTCAACTCTCTCCAACCTTTCCCATGGAAGCTCCTTCCACCCTGTCCTGCCTGCTTCTACTTTTCCATTAAGGCCGAAGTGCCTTTATTGTGCATTTATATAAACCATTGATAGTCAGTTTTCCCACTTAGTAAACCTGACCAAACACACTGTCGATAAAATACATGGTGTATCCTTCAGCATCCTGGCCGCTATGGGAAGAGGCATGTTGAGTTTGAGCAAACTAGAGTCTCGGGCTAGGTTTTTCATCCCAGAAGGCAGTCGGGTAAACTCCTAGCCAGGGTGGTCAAAGGAACCAGATTCAGTGTGAAGGTTCTGTGTTCCGGGCAGTCCCAGAGGATGACTACCACACTTTAGATAGAAACAGTGTCTAAAGTGGACTGATAAGACGAATCCATGGAAGGATGATAGGGTGTGAGATTGGGTGGGTGGGGAGGATCTTGGAGTTCAGGGAAGGAAGCTGTATGATCAGAAAAACTGTATGAAAAATTTGTGTGATTAAACCAGATTTTAAGAAGGAGTATTGAAAGAGGTACTCAGGACACACAGAAGGCTTACTTTGGTGTCTTGCAGTAGCCACACATGGTGTGGTCACTTTGGTGGCTCTGAAGTTACATATGAAGGAGTCACTAAAACTTTCCTCTCTTTGGCCGATCATAATGCAGGGTAGATATTGGTGGAGGTATTTGAGTGGGATTATAATCTGAAGGAATAAAGCTAAGTTTTTAAATTTGCACACCAGGTTAGGATAAGGTCTTTTACTGTAAACGGGGTCGCAGGTCATCTCTAGAAAGTGGCAAGTGTACAGTGGGGAGGGAGAAAGGCCTTAATTAAGCAAATGCTCTTGGAATTCTTGACTCTCAACTGCTGAGTCAGAGTCCATTGTGTGTGGCTCTGTGCTGGGCAGAGGAGACTTCAGGGGCATCGTCCTAGTTCCGGGCAGTTATGGAGAGAACCACCAGTCTCTGTCCCTTCCTGCCACACTTACAAAATGCCTGGGACTACATGGTGTGCAAAGAGCAACAAATTCTCAAAGTTCAGGAGGCAGAATGTTTAAGGGCAGAGTCTGAAGACGGCCACAGTCATGTGCATCTGTGTAACCCTCACCCCTGCTCCTAGACAGGATGGAGGATGAGCTGAGCCCTTAACCAATGGCAACCACTTCTGCATACTGCCGTCCACCATGTTTGCTGTCTGTCCTACGCAAGTCTGCTGTCACCTAGGATCTCGCCAAGCCTCCAAGGACACGACTGGACAAGTGCCGTTATTTCCAGAAGACATGAGTGAGGTGCACACAGGGCCCTGAAGAGAAGACAGATACATTAAGCTGCCCTCAACACAGTAGACAAAGAAGCCATAATGTGTTTCCATGACAGAGAGTTATCAGAAAGTAATACTGACCCATGTTTTTTGAAGAAGCCAAGGACAGTGGTCACCCTTGCGGGACCAGAGAAAAGAGAAAGGGAAGGGACAGAGATGGGGAAAGAATAGGAAGGAGCCATCTGGGACATGGAGGCTTTGGGCGGGCTCGCTGTACAAAAATGCTTCAGGTTTGTGTATAATTTGTATACGCTCACATAAGCTTCCGCATACACAATTATGTCTCAGTTACCTCAAGGGGCTGGAAGTGGTTCAACAGTTAAGAACTGGACTTACTATTCTTGCTAAGGCTGCAACTTGGTTCCTGGCACCTGCATTAGACAGTTTACAATTGCCTGGAACCCCAACTCCAAGACGTCCAATCCTCTCTTCTGAACTTTGCTGGTATCCACACCCCCACACATATTATACATAATCACTCAGAAGACAAATAGGGATAATTTGAATTTTTCCTTTCTTGTTTATGTGTGTGCATCCCTTAAAAACACATGTGAATAATTTGGGGGAATGCTTTGCCTTTGAGGCAGGAATAGAGGCATAAGGCCACCTAGCTAGTTCTGGGCTCTGAATAAAAAAGAAAAATTTCTTGTCAAGAAACAAAACAAGGGGCTAGAGAGATGGCTAAATGGTTGAGAACTTTTACTGTTCTTGCAGAAGGTCTGGGTTTGGTTCCCAGCACTGCACTGTGGCTCACAATCATTCTGGCACGCATCACGTATACGCATACATACATTCATGCAGGCAAAAACAAAAGCAAAAAACCACTCATGCACATACACACAGATCTTAGTCTAAAAAATGAAACAAAACATTCATCAAGTGGCATCAAAAAAATAAAAGAGCCTGCTGGAGATTTAAAACATGGCTTACAGTCAAGCGATGGTGGCATATGCCTTTAATCCCAGCAGTTGGGAGGCAGAGGCAGGGGGAACCTCTGTGAGTTCGAGGCCAGTCTGGTCTACAGAGTGAGTTTCAGGACAAAACAAGGAGATCTCTGTGGGTCCAGGTATGAGTCTGGGACCTCAGAGGGAGTAAGCTTGAGCCAGGTCCTCTGTAGGTCTGGGCACACCTGAGTCTGGTAACTCCGAGGGAGTAGACTAGAGCCAGAGTCATTTACAGGACCAAGCCCAAACCTGGGACCTCTGCAGGAATGGATCCAGACCAGGGACATTTATAGAAACAGGTCTGAGTCTACAACCTAGGCTAGAGCAGGCCTGAGACAGCAAACCCCAAGGGAGTGGAACAGAGTCCAGGAGCACTGAGTGACCTTCAGGAACACAGAGAGACCAAAGGGGTAACTAGAACCATGGCACTGACTGTACCATGAGGAACAACCATCTGAGACTTGGATTCACTGGCACTTAAAAGATTAATCAACAGAATCTCAGACAGCCCCAACCACAGCCCTTAGAGGAAAAGATGAGTTGAAAAGGTAAGAACACATAAACACCACAAAGAGCAACATGACACTAGTAGATCCTAAAGACCCTACAACAGCACGACTTGAACAGCCAAATATAGATGAAGCAGAAGAAAATGACCTAAAAAATAACTTCAGGAGAATGTTTGAAGCTCTTAAAGAGGAAATGAGAAATTCCCTTAAAGAAATGGAGGAAAAGACAAATAAAAAATTGGAAGACATCAGCAAATCCCTTAAAGAAAACCAAGAAAAAGCAATCAAATATACAAAAGAAACTATTCAAGACTTGAAAACAGAAGTAGAGACAATAAAGAAAACACAAGCCAAGGGAATTAAAGAAACAGAAATCATGAGAAAATGATTAGGAACCACAAATACAAACATGAAGAGCAGAAAGAGATGGAAGAGAGAATCTCAAGCACTGAAGATACAATAGAGAAAACAGACTCATCAATCAAAGAAAACATTAAATTTAACAAAGGCTTAACCCAAAATATCCAGGAAATATGGGATACCATAAAAAGGTCAAACCTAAGAATAATAGGTATAGAAGAAGGAGAAGAAGTTCAACTCAAAAGCACAAAAAATATATTTAACAAAATCACAGAAGAAAACGTTCCCAACCTAAAGAAAGATATGCCTGTGAAGATACAAGAAGCTTACAGAACACCAAATAGACTGGATCAAAAAAAATGTCCCCTCACCACATAATAATCAAAACACTAAACATACAGAGAAAAGAAAGAATATTAAGAGCTTCAAAGGAAAAAGACCAAGTAACATATAAAGGTAGACCTATAAGAATTACACCTGACTTTTCATTGCAGATAATGAAAGCCAGAAGTCATGGTCAAGCGTTATGTAGAAATTAAGAGACCATGGATGCCAGCCCAGACTGCCATACCCAACAAACCTTTCAATTACCATAGAAGGACAAAACAAGATATTCCATGACAAAACCAGATTTAACTAACACCTAGTCACAAACCCAGCCCTACACAAAATGCTAGAAGGAAAACTCCAACCAAAGGAAGTTGGCTACACCAACAAAAACACAGACAATTGGTGGTCTCATAGCAGCAAATCCCAAAGAAGGAGAAGACACACAAATTAACATCACCAACAATGAAAACTAAATTAACAGGTGATAACAATCACTGGTCATTATTATTTCTTGATATAAATGGACTCAATTCACCTATAAAAAGGCACAGGCTAACAGATTGCATAAGAAAACAGAATCCATCCTTCTTCTGCACACAAGAAACACACCTCAACCTCAAAGACAGACATCATCTCAGAGTAAAGAGTTGGAAAAAATATTCCAATAAAATGGACCTAAGAAACAAGCAAGTATAGCTATCCTAATTTCTAACAAAATAGACCTATGCCCCAAATACAAGGGCACCCTCCTATGTAAAAGAAACACTTTTGAAGTTTAAATAATACATTAAGCCCCACACACTAATAATGGGAGACTTCAATACTCCCCTGGACACACCACTGGACAGGTCAGTCAGACAAAAAATGAACAGAGAAATAAGGGAACTAACAGATTTTATGACTCAAATGGACTTAACAGATGTCTATATAATATTCCATCCGAACAGAAAAGAATGTAACTTCTTCTCAGCACCTCATGGAACCTTCTCAAAAATTGATCACATACTTGGTAACAAAACAAACCTCAACAAATAAAAAAAATTGGAATAACCCCCATGTATCTTATCAGATCACCATAGTCTAAAACTAAAACTCAACATCAATACTAATTCCAGAAAGACCACAAACACATGGAAATTAAACACTGCTCACCTGAATCATCACTGGGTCAAGGAAGAAATAAAGAAAGAAATTAAAGACTTCCTGAAATTCAATGAAAATGACCACACAACATACCCTTATGGGACATAATGAAAGCAGTGTTAAGAGGAAAGTTCATAGCACTAAATGCCTACATAAAGAAGCTGGAAAAATCCCACACAAATGAATTAACAGAACATTTGAAAACTTTAGAACAAAAAGAAGCAAACTCACTCAAAAGAACTAGACAGCAGAAAATAATCAAATTGAGAGCTGAAATCAACAAAATAAAAATAAAGAAAACAATACAAAGAATCAATGAGACAAAGAGTTGGTTCTTTGAGAAAACCAACAAAATAGACAAACCTTTATCCAAACTAAACAAAAGGCAGAGAGAGAACATCCAAAATAACAAAATCAGAAATGAAAAGGGGACATAACAACAGACATGGAGGAAATGCAGAGGATCATCAGGTATTTCGAAAACCTGTACTCCACAAAACTGAAAAACCTAAAGGAAATGGACAACTTTCTAGATAAATATCACTTACCAAAATTAAATCAAGACCAGACAAACAAATTAAACAGACCTATAACTGCTGAAGAAATAGAAACAGTTATCAAAAGTCTCCCAACCAAACAAAGCTCAGAATTCTACAAGATTTTCAAAGAAGAACTAATACCAATATTCCTCAAATTATTCCACACAATAGAAACAGAAGGAACATTGCCAAATTCTTCTTATGAGGCTACAATTACCCGGATACCTAAACCACAGAAAGACATTACTAAGAAAGAGAATTACAGACAAATCTCACTCATGAACATTGATGCAAAAATACTAAATAAAATACTGGTAAATTATATCCAAGGACACATCAGAATCATCATCCACCATGATCATGTTGGCTTCATCCCAGAGATGCAGGGATGGTTCAACATATGAAAATCTGTCAACATAATCCACCATTTAAACAAACTGAAAATAAAAACCACTTGATCATCTCATTAGATGCCAAAAAAGCTTTTGACAAAATACAACATCCCTTCATGATAAAGGTCTTGGACATAGCAGGGATACAAGGAACAAAGCTAAACATAATAAAGGCAATATACAGCAAGCCAACAGCCAACATCAAACTAAATGGAAAGAAACTCCCAGAGATCCCACTGAAATCAGGAACAAGACAAGGTTGTCCACTCTCTCCATATCTATCCAATATAGTTCTTGAGGTCCTAGCTAGAGCAATAAGACACCAAAAGGAGATCAAAGGTATACAAATTGGAAAAGAAGAAGTCAAACTCTCACTATTTGCTGATGATATGATAGTTTACATAAGTGACACCAGAAATTCTAACAAGGAACTTCTACAACCCATAAACACTTTCAGTAATGTATCAGGATACAAAATTAACTGAAAAAAAATTAGTAACCCTCCTGTACACACATGATAAAAGTACTGGGAAAGAAATCGGAGAAACATCACCCTTCACAATAGCCACAAATAGCATAAAATATCTCGGAGTAGATCTAACCAAACAAGTGGAAGACTTGCAAAATACCCAGTATAGCCAAAATAATCCTGTACAATAAAAGAACTTCTGGAGGCTTCACAATTCCTGACTTCAAACTCTGCTACAGCGTTACAGTACTGAAAACAGCCTAGTATTAGCATAAGAACAGACAGGAGGACCAATGGAACTGAATAGAAGACCCAGATATTAATCCACACACCTACAAACACATGATTTTTTTTTTACAAAGAAACAAAAAATCAAATGGAAAAATAAAGCATATTTAACAAGTGGTGCTGGCATAACTGGGTATCAACATGTAGAAGAATGAAAATAGACCCATATCTATTACCATGCACAAAACTCAAGTCCAAATGGATCAAAGATCTCAACATAAAGCCAGCCACACTGAACCTTATAGAAGAGAAAGGGGTAAGTACACTTGAACGCATTGGCACAGGGAACCACTTCCTAAATATAACCCCAGCAGCACAGACACTGAGAGAAACACTGAGACACTGAGAGAAAAATTAATAAATGGGACCTCCTGAAACTGAAAAGCTTCTGTAAAGCAAAGGACATGGTTAACAAGACAAAACGACAGCCTACAGAATGGGAAAAGATCTTCACTAACCCCACATCAGACAGAGGTCTGATCTCCAAAATATACAAAGAACTCAAGAAATTGGTCACCAAAAGAACACATAATCCAATAAAAAAAAATGAAGTACAGACCTAAACAGAGAACTCTCAACAGAGGAATCTAAAATGGCTGAAAGACACTTAAGGAAATGTTCAACATCCTTAGTCATCAGAGAAATGCAAATTAAAACAACTCTGAGACTCCATTTTACACCTGTAAGAATGGCCAAGATCAAAAACACTGATGACAACTTATGCTGGAGAGGTTGTGGGGAAAAGGGAACACTTCTGCATTGCTAGTGGGAATGCAAGCTGGTACAGCCCCTTTGGATGACAATGTGGCGATTTCTCAGAAAATTAGGAAACAACCTTCCTCAAGACCCAGTAATACCACTTTTGGATATATGTCCAAAGGATGTTCAATTTTGCCACAAGGACACAAAAAGACAATTATCACATGTACTCAGTCATAAGTGTTTTTTAAACATAAAAAAGAGAAAACCAGCCCACAAATCACAATCCTAGAGAACCTAGACAACAATGAGGAGCCTAAGAGAGACTTACATAGATCTAATCTACATGGGAAGTAGAAAAAGACAAGATTTCTGAGTAAATTGGGAGCATAGGGACCTTGGGGGAGGGGAGGCAGAGGCAGGGAGGGGAGCAGAGAAAAAGGTAGCAATCAATAAAAATCATCAAAAAATACATAAAATTAAAATTTTTTTTAAGAAAGAAAAACCAAAACAAAGAGAGAGAGAAAAAAAAAGGAAGAGGGGGAGAAAGAGAGAGAGTGTGAGAGAGAAAGAGAAAGAGAGAAAGGGAGAGGAGGAGAGAGAGAAGGAAAAAACATGGCTTACAAGGAAGACTTTATATCTAGAAATATGCAAGGCATTCAAAAGCTAACCATCTGATTTTCAATGGGAAACCCAGGCGTGGTGGTGCAGGCCCGTAAATCCAGAACCTAGGAGGAGCAGATAGGAAGTGAGCTTTTGTTTGTTTGTTTGTGGTTTTCTTTGTTTAGCCCTGGCCGACCTGGCACTTGGTCTGCATACTAGGCTGGCCTTTGAACTCTGCCTGCCTCTGCCTCTCAAGTGCTAGGATTAAAGGCATGTGCCACCACTGCCCAGCTCATGGAAGAGTATGATCTTGAGGCCAGCCTTTTCTACAGAGTGAGATTCTGTCTTAAAACAAGATGAGAAAAAGTGTACGCGCGTGTCCATGCTCACTCAGGCACTCACAGAGGTGAGTAAGCTCTGCACTGAGTGAGAAACATAAGAGCCCGCAGCACACCAGAGGTTTCCAGCATCATGAGACATTGGGACATAGAAAAAGCTCACCATACCAAGTGTTAAGAGCTGAAGCAACAACCCTGGTGGGAATTGAAGTCGGTCTTACTGCTTTGGATGGCTGTCTATAACCAAATAATCATAGAAATTTCACTCTAGGTACTCTAGAGCAATGAAAGAGCGTTCGCACAGAGATTTGCACACATCATTCAGAATGACTTCATTTATAATGGTCCCTGGCTGGCACAAACCCACATGAGTAAACAAGGGATTTGTGCAGGTGATACACACTCATTTAGAACAGTCAGAAGGTATAACTATGCCAGTCCAGGACCCGGTGAACCAGTCCTCCTGGGGATACGCCATCCACCTGATGATGTGGCTGGCGGGTCAAGAATTTTGAGCTCAGGTCCCTGGTTAAGAGCCGCTGCCAGCCCTACAGACCACCTACAGCTGAGGGGTTGGAGTCTTGCCAGCTAAGTATGTGGCCTGAGTAAAGAATGGGGTTGGGACGATTTGCTTCTGTGTTGAAGTGTCCTCTTGTGTCCGTATTGGGAACTGCAAGCAAACAGCTGAGGCGTTAGGTAATAACAGAGGTTGTCTGGGTTGGGGTGAGGCAGTTCTGAGGATTGACCAGGCAGGCTCTTCCACAGACTGAAATGGTTGCAGGGGTAGCTGTGCTCTTTGACATATCCATATTTTTTTTTTTTTTGCCAAGAAAGCCGATATTTTAGCATTGCAGAATTATGTAACCTTCTGTAAAAAGTCTCTCTGTTCTCACAGAATTCCTACCTGTGTTTTCTTCCCTGCTCCTTCCTGGTGGCTCCTGGAAACCATGTTGTGAGCCCGACCACACTTCTCAGACCACAAATGGGAACCTGGAGAATCCAGTCCAACCAAGGTTCTTTCCCTGAGAATTTGGAAGGACAGAGAGGTAGAGGCAGTAACCGCAGGTTCTGTAGCATCCCACAGGGAGGGATGAAGCAGCCACAGTCTGCAGTGTATGTGGGCCGAGTGGGAAAGAAAGCCAATCCTCTGAGAAGTGTGACAGCGCTCACTGAGACCTCAGAGTGCCGAGAGACTCCTTCCTGCCGCCTCTCATTGCTAGTCAGCCCTGCAGTGTGACTGTGAACACTCACTCGCAGGTTCCGAGAGGCTCCTGATGCGGCATCCTCACTGTCAAGTTGACTAGATCTGGTCACCCAGGAGACACTATCTGGTGTGTCTGTGAAGGAGTTTCTAGAGATGTGCGTCTAAGGAGGGAGACTGACTGACCCTGAACATGGGTGGGGTCATCCTATGCCCTGGGGTCCCAGACTGAATAAACAGGGAGAAAGAGAGTGTGCGCTCAGGGCTGTCTCTGCTTCCTGATTGCAGACGCCACACAACCGGCTGCCCCATGGTCCTACCAGCATGCCTCCCTGACCATGATGGACTGGACTCTTCACTTGTGAGCCAAAATAAAAACCCTCCCTTCTTAAGTTCACTTTGTCGAGAATTTTGTCATCACGGTAAGTAGTGAATACAGCTCCTCAACCTTTTTAACTAGGCTGCAAATCACCTCTTGCTGGCTATTTCTTGTGCCCCATCCATCCATCCATCCATCCATTCACTTATTCAGTCTGCAAACCCTTTCTGAGACGTTCTACATGTCAAATGCTATGGTAGATACAGAGAAAAGAGTCGTTTCTGGAATGCTGTCATGTCAGAGAGAGGAACATTAAACCAACCAACACATACACAGCCTGTCGACGGTGCTGGGCATCTGAAGACAAGCTGAGGATGAGAGAGTATTTATGCTGCAATGTGGGCTGCTGTAACAAAATTCTTGAGGCTAGTTAACTCATAAAGAAGAGAAACTTACTTCTTCACCTGGGGAATCTGGCTGTCCAAGGTGGACAGCTGGATGTCTGGACCTCAGAGGGGATAAATACTACCACCTAGTGGTGGAAAGCAGAAATGCGGGGGAGTCCAACTGGGTCCCAACTGAAGCCCTTTCCAAAGGCAAGGCACCTTCATCACAGATTACCTATCAAAGGTCCCATCTCTTAATGCTGTCATAGTGGCAGCAGCTGGCTGATGCTTGGAGGAAATACGTTCAAACCGCAGAAGGTAATATGTCAAGAAGACTTCTCCCCTAAGGTGAGGCTTGAGTCAGAACCTGAAGGAACTACAGAGGCGGAAGGGGGGGGGGGGAGTGGCTATGTGTGTGTGTGTGTGTGTGTGTGTGTGTATGGTATCATCTAGCCTACACACACAGTGCACTCACATATGCACACACACACACACAGCACAGCAAGCACACCAAGGCTTGTAGGTCACCAGACTGGACCTCCTTGCCTTGGGAGAAAAGCCTTTCCTGAATACCCGCTCCATGCAGTGTGTCACCTTAGGACCAGGCACCGCCCCTCCTTTGTGCTAGTTTACTGGTTTGTTTACAGGCTCCCTTTTGGGTTTCCTCTATCCTTGGGAATTATGTGCTACTTCTAGCAGCATGGGGAGTATCTCAAGACCCCACTGTGGGGTTATTAGAAGCCACATCTGCTCTGAGTTCATTTACTCACTCAGGTGCTGTCCACGGACATTGCTCACACTCAACACTCTGTGTTAACTGTGAACAGCAGCGTTAACTGAGCCTGTTTCCCAAACCTTCCCAGGAAGCACGTGAGACGGAGCGTCAGTCGGCTACCAGCTGACCTGGAATCGACCGTGGTGGCCCATTTCCCCACTTTATTAATCTATAAAAGACACTGTCATGGAAAATGAATCCCAAGCCACAAGCCCTCATTTGCACAATAGTGGGACAGTCCCTCACTGTACAGCCACCTACCCTGAAGCTTCCACTCCTCTGCCCAAATCCTGCCACCCGCTTCCCACCCTCCTCAGAGGAAAGTGACACCTGGTTCCAGGAGCGAGCAGCGACATCCTTTACCATCCCCCCACCACAGGGTCCAGGCAGGGAGCAGCGGGCTCTCTGTGGTGCTCTGCCCAGCGCCTGGGCTGGCCTCTCTTCACATTTCTTTTTTTTCCCTCTTCTTTTGTCCCACAGTGTTTCAGTCTGTGACGGACACAAAGATGCTACTTGATAAAGGGTCCACCAGCTGAGCCTGGCTAAGCCATGGTCCTGGTGATCAGTGTCCGGCTGTGGAAGCTTCAGCAATTCCAATGCTTGCAGACAGTCTGTGGATCAGCAGAGGCGGCTTTGCCCCTGTGTTTTAGAGTGCAGCCAGATAAGAGACCTTCTTACAGAGATGGGAGAGACAGACAGTTTCTTCTTCATTTTTTTTTCTTTTTTGGTTTTTAATCGAGATGGGGGGGACGGGTTTTTTTTTTCTTTTCCTTTTTTTATTTTCCATTCAAAAATTTACACTCCCCCCTCCCCATTCCCCTTCTGCTCCCTTACTTATCCTCCTCCCTCCCCCTCCCTCCTTAAGAGAGGGCAGGGTACCCTGCCCTGTGGGAAGTCCAAGGCCCTCCCCTCTCCATCCAGGCCTAGGAAGGTGTGCATCCAAATAGACTAGGGTCCCCAAAAAACAGTACATGCAGTAGAAACAGGTCCCAGTGCCATTATCGATGGCTTCTCAGTCTGTCCCCATTGTCAGCCACATTCAGAGAGTCCGATTTGATCACATGCTCATGCAGTCCCGGTCCAGCTGGATTTGGTGAGCTCCCATTAGATCAGGCACACTGTCTCAGTGGGTGGACCAACCCTTCGCAGTCCTGACTTCCTTGCTCATCTTCTCCCTCCTTCTGCTTTTCAACTGGACCTTCGGAGCTCAGTCCAGTGCTCTGATGAGGGTCTCTGTCTCTATGTCCATCCATTGCCGGATGAAGATTCTATGGTGATATTTGAGATAATCATCAGTGTGATAGTGGGGCAAGACCAGTTCAGGCACACTCTCCTCTGCTGCCCAAGGATCTAGCTGGGGACATCCCTGTGGACACCTGGGATCCCCTCTAGAGCCAACTCTCTTAACGACAGGGTTTCTCTGTATAGCCTGGGCTGTGTTAGAACTCACTTTGTAGACCAGGCTGGCCTCAGACTAATAAAGATCCACCTGCTTCTGCAGGCCTCTGCTGGGATGTGTTACTATGCTGGGATCACCATTTTAACTTTTTATTTACAAATTGTAGCCTTAAAGAAGTATGGTGGGGGGCTGGAGAGATGGCTCAGTGGTTAAGAGCATTTCCTGCTCTTCCAGAGGTCCTGAGTTCAATTCCCGGCAACCACATGGTGGCTCACAACCATCTGTAATGACATCTGGTGCCCTCTTCTGGTGTGCAGACATACACACAGACAGAATATTGTATATATAATAAATAAATAAAAAAAGAGAAATGTGTGTGTGTGTGTGTGTGTATGTGCGCGCACGCACATGTACTCGCGCATGCATACTTGTGGCAGACAGAAGACAACAGGCAGGAATCAGTTCTCTCAGTCTACTGTGTGCATCTTCGGGATGCAACTCAGGTCAGCTTGATGACAAACACCTTTACATGCCAAGCCATCTTGCTAGTTTCTCTCTCTCTCTCTCTCTCTCTCTCTCTCTCTCTCTCTCTCTCTCTC